TCTTGGCTGGTGCATGATGCACTTCTCAATAATATCTACATAAGGAAATTGTGCATTCTAAATGCAGAAGCCGCTTTTGGAGGAATGAAAGCAAGAAAATGAAACTCTAGCAAATGGCATGGCTTCAGAATGAGATATAGTGGTGTTGTATCTATGTATTTAGCATGTAGTGAATCATGCCCGGTTGTTTTAATAACATATGCCGAACCTGCGCAAACTACTAAAAATGGAGGAGTAGATAGAGAATGACGGAAAATTAGAGCCAGAATTCCTAGAAATGTCACTAGGTCATGGTTTTTGGCGTTCACGCGGACTCCTTCTTTATAATGCATTTTCAGGAAGATTTTTTTGCTTATTATGTTTACGGGCTTGTATTAGCAGTGCCACCAAGTAGGAGCAAGCTTTAAACCAATGAATGTATGTGTGAGTCTGTGTGTTCGAGTGAAGATGATTTTAGAAGAGAGGCTCGTTGATTTCTCATAGTACATTATGAGAACTAGATGCATCATGTGTTAACATTCCATCACTCACGCGTTGGGATAGGTTTCAAGCCGGATAAGAAGTAAACTATGTTATAAATTTTTAGGTGAAAGAATGATTGCCTTTTGCCGGACGAAATTTCACAACAAAATGATTATAATTTTCCATTAACGCTATCTGGGAAGGGATATCGATAAACCTCTTATTTTTGATAACACCCTGTGTCGCCAACCTGTAAGTATAATCGTTGTGCTCTTTGACAAAACATCCCAATATAGGACGTATTTTTAGCGTAGGGCCAACGGTGTTCTTATTGACTTGAAATGCAAAATTTTTTATCAATTGGGTATTTATCTACATTCTAAAAAATCAAGAAACAGTGTATTTAAATTTTAAATGCATTTATGCGCTTCTCTTCGTTTTTACTGTACTTTTTTTTTATGTGAGAGGTGTCACAGTACTATAGCGTTGGAGAAATGTTGTGTGGGAAGTTAGTTAGATGTTGTAGATCGCTGCGCATGCGTACTATGAGAAGAGTGGGTGAATGACATGATGCGCAGCTGGTGTGTCAGGGACACATGTAATGTATTATAAAGATACAATATGGTTTAAAGTAACTAATTTTTATGCTTTTTTTTGCCCTTGGCTAATTTAGTTATAATATCAGCGCAGCTAAAGAAAAAAGTATTAATAAGTGAATAAACAAACTAAATGGATAGCGTTGGACGAATGTTATGGTACAAATACAGTATATATATACAAATTGAAGAAAGAAGATGTTGGAGTAGCGTATTAGGGCAGTCATTGCTTTATGAAAGTGATTTTACAAATGCAAATATTTGAACAATATTGTCTAGAAACAAATAGATTTTGATAAGTGCGGTATGGTATATTTCGGTAAACATGAATGCATTAATTACAGTTTTTAAAAAAATTCGACGTCGCAGAATACGATTTGTGTTTCAAACTTGGGTTCGCTATAGAATACTCGTGGTATTGTAGTACTGTCTTCGTTTAAATCATTCAAGTTTAGTTCTAAGATATAATGGAAGAAAAATTAGAATCATAGAAAACACATTTTGACAATGTGGGACCAATGATGCAAATTCTGACCTCCGATAAATCTGACAAAGATCTGAGACCAGTATAGAATGTAATGAGGGGGTGTGGTATTGCTCTAATGTTCGGGTTAAATCCTGGTCACAAAAATTTCCATTAGTTGTTTCTGTGGAGAAAAAAATAGTGTCAATAATATATTAATAATAATAATTTTAATAATAATAATAATTATTATTATTATTAATTATTATTCTTATTATTATTATTATTATTATTATTATCCATTATTTATTTTTAACAATATCTTAAAATAATTCTATGGTGAATTCATGACATTGCATCAGATCGTTGTAATAATTTTTTTAATTAATAATTGAAATTTTAATATATTGTATTTTAATTTTTAATTGACATTCTATAATTAATTTAAAATTAAGTATTATTATTATTATTATTATTATTATTATTA